AATCCCTATAGATATTTTGGTCTTTTTAACTATCAATAATGAAAACAGGGCAAACATTTAAATTTCTTCCTATAATTAACTTAATTGTAGTTAAAATAGTGTGAAGATATTTTATTAAGTGCACACATGCTTAGAATTGTTAAATGTCCCTGATTAACTTATCTTCTTATTATTTTGTAGTAACTTTTTCTAACTCTATGAAAATATTCTGTCTTAAAATTGTTTTGTCTGATATAAATAACTACCAGCTTTGTCTTGAATAATTTTTGCCTGATATGTGTTTTCCCATCGCTTTTCTTTCAATCATTGTCTGTTGTAATAAAATACGTAATTTTTAGCCATGAAATCTGTCTTTGTAGTGGTCAATTTTAACATCTGTTTAAATGTAGGTTTCTCAATCTTGGCACTATTGGCAATTTGATGGGATAATTCTTTTGGGGGTGGTGGTTTAGTGTGCATTGTAGGTCGTTTAGCAGCATCCCTGATCCCCTTGATGCCAGTAACATTGTCAAGTTGTGAAAGCTAACAATGACTCCAGACATTGCCAGTTGTCCTCTGGGGGCAGCATTTTCCCTGACTAAGGATCACGAATTTTTTAGTATTGACAGTGGAATCTTTTCATGTCACTTTGGTTTATTATTTCTGTTTATCCTAGTCTCTTTGTATTTATAAATTACTATGTTTTTTTTTTTTTTTTTACTAGATAAGCTGTTTTTGGTACCCACTAGAAATTTGGTGTACCACATTATTTATTCTCTTTCATTTAACACATGTTTTCAACATTTCCAAGATTTGTTCCCTTCTTATAGAAGGTCTTCCTTAAAAACATTTTAAATGTGCTTCTTTTGTGTGGCAAACATCCTGGATTTTCAATGCCTCAGAATAGTTGATCATGCCCTCACTTTTAAATACAGTTTAGCTGGGTATAAAACTCTAGCTTCTAAATTATTTCCCTCATCTTCCTGTGTCTAGAGTCACTCTTTAAAAATGTGGTTTCTGTGGTATGTTCTTTCTGTGCTGAAACTTTGCTATTTTAAGATTTCACCATAATTTACCAAGCAATGCTTTTGAAATGATCTCTTTTTACATTCTATGGGGTCTTTCAATATAAAGTCTTCCTTTTTTTTCAATCCTAGCAAAAATTATCTCTGTAATTTCTTTAGGTATTTCTTAGGACTTCTGTTACCTATATCTGCTTCTGTCCTTCATTTCTCTCAACTGATCTTTTGTATTTCCCAGTCATTATTCTTTCTGCTTCCTTTTAAGAGAGTTCCTCAACTTGTTCTTCCCCTTTACTAAATTGTCCTTTAGCTGTATCCATTCTTTTTTTTTTTTTTTTTTTTTTTTTTTTGAGATAGGGTTTTGCTTTATCACTCAGGCAGGAGTGCAGTGGCACAAACATGGTGGGCTCAAATAATCCTCCCACAACAGCCTTCCAAGCAGCTGGGACCACAGGTGCACACCATCATGCCTGGCTCTTTATTTTTATTTTCTGTAGAGATAGGTTCTCACCATGTTTCCCAAGCTTGTCTCAAACTCATAGGCTCAAGTAATCTTCCAACCTTGGCCTCCCAAAATTCTGAGATTACAGAAGTGTGCCACTGTGCCTGGCCTAGCTGTATCATTTTTTAAAATTCCATCAGCTTTATTCTTCATTTCAAATGTTGGATATTTCATACTGCTATGGCATGAATGTGTCCCTGCAAAAATTTGGGTGTTGAGACTTAATGGCCAATGTGATGGTAGGAGGTGGGGCCTTTAAGGGTGATTCGGTCATGAGAGCTCCTCAATAATGCATATATCAAAATAGTTCTAAGAGAGGATTTTGAATGCTCTCACTACAAAGAAATGATAAATGTTTGAGATGATGGATATACTAATTACCCTGACTTGATTTATTATACAATGTATACATGCATTATATACATGCACACTGTACCCCATAGATATGTACAAATAATCATTTGTCAATTAAAAACAAACAAAAGAGTAACCTTCTGAATGAGGCTTTCCTTGGCTAACTTCTCTAAAAATGAAAGAAAGGAAGGAAAGAAGGAAGGAAGGAAGGAAGGAAGGAGAGAGAGAGAGAGAAGATGAAAAAAACCCCCTGCACTAACAATACTTGTCACTTCACATTTTCCTTTTTTTCCCCATAGCACTTAACACTATTGAGCACCCTATCTATCCCACTGACTAATCTTGTTTATTGTCTTTCTTTACAAGGGCAGTGATTTTATATGGCTTGTTCACTGCTGTGTGCCCTTCTAGAGTATAAAAAGTGGATAAAGAATTATGCCTGCATGTGGGACAAAGAGAGAAGCCAAGACAATTTCCAAGGTTTGGGAAGGTGGCTGGACCAGGAGGTCAGGGCTGTAGGAGACACCCATACTTCTTGGAGATGACCAGTGGGCTGATGGAAATGTAAGCTCATTGCTCAGTCATGAAGTAGAGGCAGGGGCATAACAAATGCAGCAAGATTTTCTGAATGAAAAGAAACAAATCATGTTCACTGTGGAAATTGAGATTGTATCAAAATAGAAATAAAACAAGGACATTATCTACACTCACATAGCCATGGTTAATATTTTGATGTATTTCATTTTGGTTTTATGTGTGTGCGTACGCAATATAATTGCATTCTGCTTTTCTTTTAGCCCACCACAGACATTTTCTTATTGTAACTCCTATTCAAAAACATTTTTAGTGGTGGCATAATATTCCTTTGTACCAATGCATTTCAGTGTAAAATGCCCTTGTACTTAACTGTCTGTGCATGTCTCTGATGATGCCTGTGGGATTTATTTCTGCAGTGGGATGACTAGTTCAAGGAGTTTGATCAGATCAGAAACATCCCTCTAGACAGGCTGCCACAGCAGAGAACCTGGAATCCCATTAGGACACCCTCATTAACACCGGTGATTTTTATTTTTCCTAAAGTGTGCTGATTTGATAACTGAATCTTAGGAAGCTATTGTTGTAGCACCTGCATTGCCTTGACTCCCATGGAGGAGACCACCCTTACTTGTTCATTTCTGTGTGTTTGTGTGTGTGCAGGTTGCTTGGGTACATGTGACCTTAGGGGTTAGTGGAAGCAAAAGTCCGAGGGAGCAGAAGTTGGTTGAGGAAGATAGCAGAGGATCAGAAGAGGCCCCATGAGTCTACCTGGGAGGCCAAGGCAGGGAGGTAGAGGAACTGGAGGGTCCGGAGGAGAATGAGAGTATGCAATTTTAGGTATTTACTGGAAGTGGCAAGAGAGCATTTAGAGGGAATAGGTGATCATAGGTATTGTGTTAGTCAGGGTTTTCCAGAGAAATAGAACCAACAGGTTATATCTGTCTATCTTCTATCAATCTATCTATCTATCTATCTATCTATCTATCTATCTATCTATCTATCTATCTATCATCTACTTATCCATCCATCATCCATCTATGTATCCATTATCTAACATCTATCATCTATCTATCTATCTATCTATCTATCTATCTATCTATCTATCTATCTAATCTGTCATCTATCTAGTCTATCTACCTACCTACCTATCTCTAATCATCCACCAAAAAAGATTTATTACAAAAAATTGGCTCATATAAGTATGGAGGCTAAGTCTCACCATCTGTAATCTGTAAGTTGGAGAACCAGGAAAGCTGGTGGTGCAATTTTGCCCAGGCAGGCAGATAAAAGGCACAAATTCTTTTTTCCTCTGCCTTTTGTTCCATTCAGAACCTTAATGGATCAGTGGATGCTGCCCTGCCCACACTGGGGAGGGCAATCTACTTTACTGAGTCCACTGATTTAAATGCTAATCTCATCTGGAAACACCTTCACAGATACTATGCTCACAGTATCACCCTCACAGATGCTGTATCTGGGCACCCCATTGCCCAGTCAAGTTGACACATAGAATGCATCATCATGAAGTGTGGGAAGCAGCAGAAGTTAGAGGTTAAGAAATGAGGACAAGAAAGGGCACAGGAGTTGCTGGCTCCCAGGAAAACAAACCTAGTGGGCTTAGAAGGCAAGCATTATTTTGTAGCTCATAGCTCTTCAGCAGCTCCCAAGGGGTTGCTATGCTCCAGGCCTGGATTTCCAGACACTTGGCCTCGCTTCCTAGGTGCTCCAGGATTCTGCCACATAACTCTCCACAGCACTTGGTGACTGCTCCCTGCAATGGGCTCCCTCTGCTCACTGTCTCCCTCCATCTTCACAGCTTTGCTGTCACAGCACCCCCAAGGGGCCTGCCTTCTCAGTTTTCCTGGTTTCTCATGTGATCAGCCTGAGACAACACCCCATAATCCCCATCCTCTGAACACTTACAGAACCAACTTGCTGCTCATCACATACAACACATGTGATAAGGGTATTTTAGATGTTTCATCAACAAATCAGACATGGTGCTAGACAGGAGGTAACTCTTCGACAGCAATTTATCCTTGGATGCCCTGAAGCCACAGGCTCAGTGTTTTTGTCTAAAGTGGCTTTGACAAGTAACAATTGTTCCAAGGCTGCAGATAGGGGACTTAGATCCCAGAACCACTTCTACTTGGAGCAGAGAAGGGCCACTCTCTGCTTGGAGATGGGAAGGGGACACAGCAGTAAAGGGCATGAGACTTAATTGCTGAGTGTCTGTTCTGGTCCTTCCCTGCTTGTCCGTGGACGGCTGCTAGTGTTAGATGGAACAATACAGGACACAACCCCAAAAAGGCAAGGACCAGTCACATAGGTGCACATTGCTGACCTGATCAAACCTGGGCCACAGACTGTCCCAACAATACAACCTCCTAGAATTGGACCATCTTGCGGATATGATCCAATGCCTCCATAGGTTGCCCACAAAGCCATGGAAACTGATTTGGGTTCTTTTGCGAGAGAGGAAAGCAGGGAAACATTTGTGTTTATGAAGTTTCCCACTACAGCTAAAATATTTTCCCCTTTCAGGATTATTTTACTAGTGATACAAAGCCCAGAGATGGTCAATAACAAAGGGAAAGAGATTTTTATTTTTAATGGTAAAAACTTTATTTACTATTTATAAATACATTGCAAGACAAACTTCTCAAAAATACTTTTCCCCCCAAAAATTAAAAAAATAAAGAAAAGCTAATAGGTAGGCAGAATGTCTTGAGACCCCTCTGTTTTCAAGGAGACCTCTGTGCAGCGCGTGTTCACACCGAGGGCTGCAGCAGGGCAGAGTCTCCCTGAGCCTGACTTTGCCAGACCTCCTTGGGTTTGGCCTCTGGGAGAGCAGCCCAGCCTCTGGGCACGAGCTCCTTTCCTCAGTCATGGCCACAGTTGTATCATATAGCATCTCTAACATTTCATCTAGGATTATCTAGTATAGATCTTATTATATTTGGGGCTATGTTGTATACAATGTTAACAAGGACATATCTTCTCTGCATATATGTGTGAATTATAAAGAAAAGCATGAGAATGACTCTAAGTTCAACAAATATGGGTGAATCTCTATGTGCTCCCAGTGTCCTGGATGGGCTCCCCAGCAAGCCATTCCTCCTTCCTGCTCTGATATTACTATTCCTTTTTACATTGTGCCAAGGAGGACAAAAGATGAGAGAGGAAAATAAAGCTTTGCCTTTAAAGAGCTTATCCTCAGAAATAAGCTTTGTCTTGAGTTGTTGAACTACGAAACACTATTTTCTGCAATCATCTGAAGAATCATGCCATTATTTGTGATGTCTCTGAATGGGGAGGCTGACTCTCCCTGTCTCTCTGTCCCTCCTACCCCATGGGACCACAGCAAAAGCCATCCTGGGCCTTCAACTAGGCCATGTCTTCAGGAAGGTTCCTGAAAAGGAGGGCCCGTAATATCTGCCTTTATAGGTTCCCAGATTGCCCTAGAACATTCTTAGATATATATTTTTTTAAACAAGTAGGACTCCACCTTATTTTCTCCAATAGTCCCCAAGCAGTACAGACTAATGAAGATATAAACATTATTCTTGGTTGAGGGACCCAAGCCCTTGTTTCAAAAATGACACCACAGAAGGCTGTGAGCTCCAGGAGCATGCGTCGGGATGTCCGGATGACCGGGGTGTAAGGGTTTCCCTATTCTCAATAAAGCCTGTGCACACTGTACAGGGAGTGGGGGTGAAGCGTGTTCTCTACATAGGCAACACAGCCGCCTAAGTCATGAAGTCAGTGGTTGGCTGCTTCGACCAACATGTGGTGAGCATTCCACGGGGGGATGAAGTCTGGGTACTGTGCTTGAGTCTCTGAGTACTTTGATAGGAAGCAACAAGAAAATTCAAACTGCTTTTTGCTGACTACTGGAAAGTGAAAAGATGCTCAAGTTTACCATTCAAAGAAACCATAGGCATTTCAAAAACCTCTTTCTAAACTTTGGTTTAAAAAAATATCAGTTCACCACAAACAGAAATATAAATCGAGGCTGTAGCCAGCTGCTGGTCATGTCCTTGGCAGTCTTTTGTGCAAAATAAGGCATATTTGAGCTCCACATTAACTAAAACAAAAAGAAAAAGAAATATATTGAAATAATCCTCCCAAAATCAAAAGGGCTCAACTCTTGCCCTGAGATATCCAGCACAGCCTGCAGGCTAATGGCACTAGGCCTGCAAGTGCAGGGCTAGGGTCTCAACCCATGTTTTTAAACACAACAACAAGTACCATCTGCTGCTCACAGGGTTCACTGTCAAAGAGTTACCCTCAAATTAGAGTTATGTTTTTCCAACTTGTAAGGAAAAAAGAAACCCTTCTAACTAAACGTGCAAATTTCTTTTGCTTACTAAATTTGTCTTAATAAAATGAAAGAAAATGTATTTATTTCTTTCCCCCAATAGTTCCCTCATTTATTAAAAGAAAACAGAATACTGGGTATAATAGCATTCTCTAAAATGATTGTTTAAAATTTCATTTTTCTACCAGATTTAAATGAACTTTATTAAAATTATATTAGCCACAGACTAACAGAACATTCATAATATATTTTACAGAAAAAAAAGCCGCATCTTCAGACTGATGCTCTCCCAACTGAGCTATTTCAGCTGTCTCACATTCACATTTTTAATTTAGATACACGTATCTGTAGCAGGTTCTTGCGGATTAAAACAGTTTCCCTGTGAAGATAAATGGACCTCCAGACTTCACGGGCAAAGCCTAACTTTGAAAATCTTCACTTTGCATGTGGATGAATGACAGCTTAGGTGCTGAGAGGTGTCTGAAATAAAGCAGAGCATCCCTGAGGCACACTGGCCGGCCTCCTTCCCCACACTTGTTTGGTTGGGTTGAAGGGGTCTCCCTCTCCCTGCACCCTTCTGAGGGCTCTGTCCTATTTGCTTTGCTCTTTCTGGCCCTGAGCTGCAGCTCCTGGGTCTGCAAGCCTGGGGAAGGGCTGGTGGCCAAGCCCAGCCCATGAGGCTAGTCCAAGGACAGTGAGGCCCTGGAGCCCCAGGCTGCCCCTCCTGAGTGCTCACCCTCGCGGCAGGCGTCTACTTGCTCTGCATGCTGTAGCAGTGCACGTCCTCCTTCCCCTTGGTGGTGTAGCCTGGGAGAGGCTGCCCGTACTTATCCACACACCAGCAGAAGCCCCGCTTCCTGCCTTTGGAAGGGCGACACTGTGGGAGAGAAACAGAAGACAGAGAGGTGAACGCCCCTGGGTCTGGTGTCAGGTCGGTGACCAGGGCCCATGATGGTTTGCCAGCATGACTCTGCTATGCTGAGAAAGCATAACAGAAATTTCAGCTAAGGCTGCGTAAGAGCCACGCATGCCTAGGCCCGCTGACTGTGTACCTGTGCATGCGTGTGGGTGTAAGTTCCTTCTCCAAGAAAGCGGGGCTGGGGGCAGTTTTGTGTTTCTAGGAGTGTAAGGTGGACACCAGTCCTTGCAGAACCTCTTGGGCCTGCCGACTTCTCTGCCAAATGTGGGACTGAGAACATCCCCTCTGCCTGGGAATGCCACAGCTGTGCCTTTGGAGCCCACATTCAGCCTCACACGACACCTTCTCAGTATGAATTTGTTGAATGAATGACTGATGTAAAATGTGGGTATAAATAAGCCATGGCAATGGAGGAAAGCTTAGGCTTTCTGACTGTGGCCACTACTACGAATCTTGGTATATGGTCACCCTGAGGCCACTGTGGCTCACTTAGGTCTCCGAAGGCCAATTCTGTAGATACCAATTAGAAAGCCAATTGAAACAGTGCCATCACATAACACAAAGTCTATAGAAGCATATTTATTACAGCTTCATATTACTACACCTTAAATTTGTTTGATCATTTTCAGCTTGTTTAATTGGGACTTTAGGCATATGACTACATTTGGGACTGATGTATAGACAGGATTCTCACTCCATTCCTTTTCCAGGAATAGGACTGTGTTGCAATATAAAGATTTTGAAAAGACTGCTGTTTGATGCTGATGACTCTCATGCCTTCTTCTCACTTGGGTTTTCTAGGGAAAGGCCAGTGAGTCGCAGGAAGACCACAACATGGCCAGTTTGGAGAGCCTGGCCGTCCCCAGCATGGACCGAGTGTCTGATTTCAAGTTCCATCCCCTCCATGTAAGACAGACACCTGGTGTGTGCTGGGGATGGCTGGGCTCTCCAAGCTGGCCATGCTGCAGTCTTCCCCCAACTCACTAGCATTTCCTTGAAAAGCCCAAGGGAGACAGACACACAGGAGTCATCAACATCTAGCAACGGTCTTTTCAAAATCTTAATATTGCAACCTGCTCACTATCAGGAAGGCATCAGTAGAAAAGGGGACAATTGTGGGATTTCAAGGTAAGCTTTTTGTGGTACGACCTCATGTCACACTTCTTGGAAACTGACTGTAGTAGTTGTTTGAAATGGGACACAGCATTAACAAATGTGTCAACATGTTCACCTGCAGTTCATAAAGGGTGCCCCTGGGCAGTACCTTGTCCACCCTGTGGGTGAACCACTGAAAGGGCAGGAGCAGAAAATGGGTGGTGGAAAGGCACTAGGGTTGAGGATTATGGCCAATATAGCAGCACTCAGAGCAACAAGTCAAAACAGCCCTTGGTCTTACCTCCTGAGACTGGCACCAAGTCCTGGGCACTGGCGCTGCACAGGCTCAGAGTTAGAGCTATGGCCAGAAGAGCCTTGGGGCTGGTGAGGTGGGTTTCTCCTCTGCGTCAACAGAACCCGAAGAGGAAGAAAACACACTGAGGACCTCACTTACCTGCTTTTTCTTATAAAATCCCTTCTTGTCACAGTTGGGAATGTGCACACCCCTGGGACTCAGCACGTTGAGGAACTTCAGGTGATTCAGTGTGTCTTCCATTTCTCTCCGGCAGGGACCCTGGGGATCAGGAAGGACCAGAGCAACACAGTCATGGTTATTACTCTAGAATGTGTGCTTTAAAAATCTTACAATGCCGCACGACTGCCCAAAGTGGGACCTGTAATTTGCTCCTCAGATACCTTATGCCTGATTTAGCAAGAAAGTCCCTCAAATAAGCTAACCATCACTCCCTGTCTCCCTTTTGCTCTTCCCAGAGTAAGTCACAGAACCTGGTATAGAACCAATAGCAGGTCAACAAGCACAGAGGATGAAGTAAATAAAATAAAACTATCTTTATGAGAATATTTTTCATTATCTCTAGAGGTCTTTATGACATCCCATATGCTTTCAAGAGTGTTGTTTCAGCTTGATCCTCATAAGATTCTCCAAAAGGGTCAATATTCTTTATGTAAGGAGAGGAGAGATGTGAGGCACAGAGGGGCTAGGGACTGCCCACCCAACTGCCAGATGCTGGGGCTTGTTGAGTAAGAACTGCCCTCAAGAGGCTCTGAGTACCCAGGCTTGGCAGGTCTTGCCCTCCTCGTTTAACAAGAGGAAAAGCTCTCACGTATTCTGTCTCCCGCTTGGACTCGGAGGAGAAGTTCTGGGTATCTGTGCTCTGAGACTCATAGTCGACTTTGTAGCGCTGGCTGTCTTTAGCATGCCCTTTCTTGATGATGATTATCTTTGAATGGACGGGGTGGAACTTGGGATCAGACACCCGGTGCGTGCTGGAGACGGACGGGCTCTCCACACTGCCGGCGCTGCGGTCTTCCTCCGACTCACTAGCATTTCCTTGAAACGCCCAAGGGAGACAAACACGTGAGAGTCATCAACATCTATCAACAGTCTTTTAAAAATCTTAATGTTGCAACCAGGTCACATGTAAGTGACAATATTAGCTGACCATCCAAATAAGTTTTTTTTTTTAAAATACCTCGATGAAGTATTAGTCCATAGTACTACTCGCTACATGGTAGTTGCTCTACCTCAAGAAGTTATCTGTTTGAAAGTCAATCTGACAGGGACTCTTCCTAAGTAGCTGCAACTAAAGAAGGCAGACAAATGCTTAAGTGCCCCTCAGTAGAAGGTGAAGGCGGTATGCTTCATCTTCCACCGGCAGGGGGCAGACCCGAGTCACAGGAGGCTGCTGCGGCGCTGGCTCAGAAATTTTGCAGTGAACTCCAAGTGTGGTCCTCCCACCCGTGGGAGCAGCGGCAGCCTGGAGGACTTGGAAGAAATGCATATTCTCCACTCCGGAAACGCTGGAGTGGCGGCAGCAGTCTGAGTTGTAACAAGCCCTTACGGGAATTCCGAGGTTGACCAGTACCGTCCTCAATGCTACCAGGTAAACAGGCTTATAAGAGCTTGGTGTCCAGCTCAGATGGGAAAACTGAACTATTACCTGCAAAGCGTTTTGCCTCAGGGGCTCAGAATCATGCAAGCATGTTGGTGGCTTGTTTTCTAGGTCCCCGTTACATCTCTAAAACTCAAGGTCTACACAGACCCTGTGCATCCTGCTGGTACCTGCCTGAGTCAGTCCTCTTCATCCCTGGGGAGCACAGGAGCACATGCATGCAGACAGTGCCCAAGTCCCACTCACAGCTCAGACTTCTAAGTGCCAAAGAGCTTTTCCTTCCCTGGGTGGGGATGGGGTAGGAGAAATCCCCCTCCAGCAGATCTCCCTTTTATAATAAAAAGTGCTAAATGAAGAAAGTCTGATACTTAAAATAGATGCTGGAATGTTAACAGTTGAATTAGAATTTTAAGTATATGACTAAATTCGAGACTGGATCTGTGGGCAGGATTCTCACTCCATTCCTTTTTCAGAATGAACTTGGAGGGGCTGTAAGACCACTATGGGGATCAAAGGCTACATTCAGAGCCCATGCTCCCAGAGCCTGTGGACCATGCCAAGCTCAGCCCAGCACAGACCTCTGAAGGGCTTCGGCTTAAGTCCACAATTGAGAGTCATGAAATTTCTCTACTACAACAAACAAGACTATAATGTGTAACCCTAGCAGGGAGCTCAGGTGGCCCATCTGGTCCGCAATCTATTCTAGAAAGCTACCAGGGCTGCAATGATTTGGTTGCAGATGCTCTGCTCTCCCCTGGAAGTGGCTACTGGCAGGTCACTCACCAGGGCCTTAGTTTCCTCACCTACCAAACAGCTCACTGAGGTCCTGCTGTAAAGTTCCCCAAGGGGTTTCACGCCTTGGGAAGCACACATTCCCAGGGTCCAGGCCAGAGCCTCGCAGAGGAGCGCCCTACCTGCGAGGATTTGGTTTCAATTTCTTTTAATCTTAGCTTTCTTTCTTTTTCAAGGAAATACTGAGATAAAAGAGATACTAAGAATGTAAATATTCTAAGAACATGTAAATAAACATATTTATATTTCTTTTCCAAGAACCTTGAGTAATTTCTTAAATTTCCTTGGTTTCTTCTTAATGCCTGGGCTGCAGACTAGGGCATGAAGAGACAACAGTTCTATTTAAGCAACAGATAATTGTGACTTTTGACTGTCACAAATTCACCTTTTTTTGTCAAATGCATTCTAGAAGTCACTTAGATCTTTTTATAATCTTATAGCTCACATTAACCTATACAACAGAGCTACTAAGACGGTAAGCATGATTGCTGAAGCCTAAGTGACAATGTGTATCAGTATTTCTAAGATCACTTTTTGAACACCCCAACATGCACAATAATGTACAACACTTGGCAAATGACATAACTTTGCCCCGAGAGACAAATGCCTCCAGCAGCTTTAACAGCTGACCACAGCCAGTGTATGTTTCAGGCATCTGGAATCTTGCCTTTCCATGAATCCAGTGTTTCTCAGGGGTGAACAGAGCCAGCCTTGCCTAGCCAGAAAATAACTTTACCTGGGCATGGAACTCTACAGCTACATAAATTATAAAGAGACTGTTCATCCTGCTAGCCCTAGATGGGGGCCTGCCTCGTGACATCTGTCCAACGTGATCGTTGGGGAGTTGGGGGGATTAGGATGGGGAGAATTCTCTCAGCCTTCAGCTGTGCAAGGCAGGAACTTTATTTCCTCATATAACTAAGTGAGGCTGGCTAAGAATGCTTGAAAGATGAACGCCTGCCAAATCCACTTAAACAACGCCACCCGCCCCCCCCGCCCCGCTTTTTTAAGGGAACAATGTGATGCCCTTACCAGAGTCGCTGCCTGCCTGATAGACTGGTAGTGGCTGAGCCAAGAGGGTAACTCTGCCAAATGTTTGCATTTTTCCTCTTCTGGGGCTCCCCTTAACATCTCATTCCCCCCCATTTCAGATTAAGAAGGGAGACAGCCCTAGGACTGATTCCAATTCCCTTCCCTGTCATTGAAATTGACTTAATCCACATTGCCCGCACCCGCCACGCACCTGGACGTTTGTTTGAGGTCCGCACAGGTGCGGAGGTGGCCTGAGTTGTAAGAATGGTATGGTACTGAAAGTGGCACGTGGGGTTCAAACCTACACTCTGTTATGGCCTCTGGGTAACCTTAAGAAGTTACTTCTTTTTCAACTTCAGGTTTTCCAACCGCAGAAGATACCAAAACCCGAATCCACTTTACTTGTTTTTGGACACACCGGGACTAGATATCGCTTTGCAAACAAAAAGGCTGTTCAAAGTCAGTATTTTAAAAGAGAGGTACTATTTCCTACAACCTACCTGCCCACCTTCCTTGGTCCAAATCCGCCTATGTCCCCCATCCCCAAGCATCCCTGGGATTGCGGTCCACACCCCCGTGCGGCGCGAGGAGAATCTCCTGTGTCCAGGATCTTTCCAACAGCTAAACGTCGGTACCGCTCCCCCCAGCTCCGGAAACCTTTAACCCATTTTCACTGAAAGCGCTTTGCAATTTACAAGTACTCTGCACTTAAGACAATCAAGCAAGTAGAGGGCCGGCAGAGGAGGGTCCCTCCGGTGAGCGCCTTCAGTTTCCCCACATACTATCTCCAGTGAGAAGAAAACCCGAGTCTCCGGCAGCGGCACCCAGCAACCCCCAGGCCCTTCCGCGCCAGTGCGCGGGCTGCTGCGAGC